TACATACAGTATTTTAGGGAGGATACTACTATTTGTGAGCATTGGTACCCTAACACTCTCTTGGACACTTAAGTGAAACTGTTGCTTCCTTCCGGCCAAAGTAAATTCCAACTCATAGCAACCCTATAGGGCCGAGTGGGAAACTGCCCTCTGGGTTCCCAAGACAGGACTGGTCACAGGAGGCCAAAGCCCGTCTTGCTCTTGTGGAATGGCTGGGTTGTGACCTCGATGAGTGGTTAACCACTCTGTCTCCAGGGCTTCTCCAAGTTGAACTGTAGAAACAGCACCAATTGCCATCACATGCGACTTGCTTCATGCTGTCCCCGTGTGTGTGAGAAAGCCGTGCTCCTGGTGGGTCTGTGGCAGGGTTTGTAGAAGTAAATCAAGGTTGTCTTCTGAGGTGCCTTTTTGTAGACGTGAACTGGCAGCCAAGCTCATTAGTCACTTCTACAACCTAGGAGCTCCTATGTTATGGTTGCATATATATATTGTAATATTGTATGTATATAACTGAGTTCTACTGTATGGTCTTTACACTATACCCCAGAAACAGTTGAGGTCAAGGAAAAGAACCAATATAGGATTGGAGGCTGCATTATTGTTCTGGTAATTCTCAGTAATTTTCACATTTTAAATTGATGTTGAGTCTATGAATTCTATCAGCATGTCAAATATTTCTTACACTTTGTTTTCTTCCCCATTAGTTACCTAAGTGTTACCTCAGTAAGAAAGGCGAAAGACTTAAAAGTCAGACTTTATTTTTGAAAATTCACCTTTGCTGTATTTGGGCTTTTGGAATATACAGGAAATCTGCTGTTTGACACTTAATTCTGTTTTAATCTTGTGCTTGTTCTTTGTCCATAGGAGTTCTTTTATTTGACCTTTGGATTAAATAATTTTGAATTGTTTAAATACTAAATTTAGTTATGAGGCAGAGACAGTCTGACAAGTAGTAGGATGTCAATTATTTCATGACTGTTATTTATGTTAATGAGGTAGATAGCTGTTCAGTCGGGACAAATGAAACTACATTTATGAGCCTCTTAATATATTAAGGTGCCCTCATGGCACTAAGTGTTAGGTGTTGGACTGCTAACATTGCTAACTTCAAGGTTTGCAGTTCAATCCTGCTGGCCACTCTATGGAAGAAAAATGAGACTGTCTCCCATGAGATATATAGTCTCAGAAACCTTATATACGGGAATAACCAGTCAGAATAAACTGGTTTTTCTAATGTGTTACAGTTAGCTCTCTGAGTAAAAACAAAAAGAAACCACCAGGTGTTTTATACCTATTTTAAATATAATTTCAAGGTCTCATTTATACTCTGAATTAACTGATTTAAATAGTATTTGGTTCTGGGAATACAGTTTTCAAACAGTGTTTGAAAATAAGAATTATGGTAAAACTACACTATGAAAACTTCGTATCATAAAGGTTATTCTCAGGCTCCCGCAGGCCAGGTCTGCTCTAGTCACCTTACTGTTTTGAAGAACCAGATCGAGCAGACTGAGTTGTTTGCTTCTTCCTGTAAGCTCCTTTTAAATCTTGGTTCTATAGTGACATGGGAAAGTTAAATGTTTTGGTTAGTAGAGGAAAATCTTAGACTTCTCTGGTTTTAACAGGCATTCATAATGTCCCAAAGAGGTAAAAACATTGACAACATACAAATGAGCAAAAAATAATGATATCACAAGGTACGTTGATTGGGAACACACTTTCTATGGAAAACTCAGCTTTGCTCTATCTATGTTTTTGGGATATCCAGGAGATCCCGCTGTGCTTGTGCCTGTTCTTTGTCCGTGAGAGTCTTTACCCTGAACAGTACTTTTTTTTCTTTTCACTGAGACTGTATTCTGTATATGAGAGGTGGGTGGGAATTGTCATCCATTTGGAATGGTGAGCTTCAAGGGCTGAGCTCCCATGAAAACACCTGAAACCTTTTTACTGAAGAGGGACACACTTGGGTCGATTTCTTAAATTTGAATTACTTGGAACCTTTAAGGATACTTGGGTTTCACCCATCCCTGGGCAAGAAGCAATAGAAATATGTTATTTGTAGCCATCTCTTACGACTTCTCTCCTTCACATTGGACAAAGGTTCTAAATATAGGTCTTATTTTCTGGGATTTTTACTAGATTAGGGGAAAGAATGTATTTGTGGGTCAAAAATGGGAAGGAAAGAACCAGAGAAAATGCTGAGAGTCAGGAGGAGTTACCTTCACTGAAACTTTAGTGTTAACTGGACCTTCTTAGAAAGTGAATTGTGGCCAAAATGCGAAGGACTTTGGATCCTGGCTAAGGATTTTGGATTTTGTTTTGTCGTGCCATGATATCCACAATGAACTATGTGGTGTGAAGCATTGGGATTTGAGAAGAAACCTTTTATGTAAACTTTTTAATGAGTTTTGTTAATATTTACACGCAATTACACAATCGAGTCAAAAATATGCATGGTCTTCTGAGGGAAGAGTGGAATTTTTGTGGGGGAAAAAGCCATTTTGAACTATTGAAGCCCATGTGTGCAAATTTTCATTCAAAGGTATTTTCTAATTTAAACCAAACCCATAGCAAAATAGACAAGTGCGTTAAAAAGTTTGAAGGCAGCAATATAAGTGGAAATGAACCACCTTGTACAGTCCATGTTCCAGTTGCTAGCAGAAGTCAGAGACCAGCTTGCTTCCTTAGGGCGCATCACCAGAAAAGATCGATCACTCGAAAAAGGTAATGTGTTCGGTAGGTAGAGGACCGGCAAAAAGGAAGGAAGCCCTCAGGAACATCTATTGACACAATAGCCACCATAGTGGAGTCAAACAGATCAAAGGTTAGGAAGATGCTGCTGGGCCAGGCAACATTTTATTGTTACACAGAAGGTCACCAACAGTAACACTTGTGACTCATGGCAACCCTGTAAGACAGGATAGGACTACTCCTGTCCTCCGTTTTCTCCCAACAGTTGGTGGCTTTGAAATGCTCACTCATTACCCATTACCATTACGCTACCAGTGCTCTGTAACCGGAACATGTAGCCAAAAAAAAAAAAAGGCTCAAACTGACATGTACTCCTAGTATAAGCTGTCTGATGACCTTTTGGTAAAACAAAAGCAATGGTAATAGATTTGACAAGAAAATGACCCATCAGGAAAAACTAATTAAAAGGGTAGTTTTAGATAAGAATTTTTATCCTATCCTTTTTTTTTTATCCTATCCTTCAGATATGATTCTTATACTGTCATACTTAGTATATTATGCCCTGAGTGACACTTGGTAGTTACCCAGAATGCCAGGGAACCGTTTTCTGCTGTGGGATGGAGCCTTGGAAAGTTCCTGGGCCAGGTCTTCACTGTCCTCCAGGGGTGCTGTGCATTGAATCTATTCAGTGACAGTGGACTTGGGTTTCGTACGTGTATTTTGGGCCCTGAGATGCCAGTTTATAATCATATGGAGCCATATCAGTACAAACATGTAAAAGTAGTATTTATTTTATCTATAATATAATCTTTTTATCTTACACTTTCATGTATACTCCTGCTATCCTAATATGTATTCCTGTATAGAAGTAGATTGAAGTACATAGCAAAAAGATTAAGTTTTAGACCCTGCTGTGTACTCAACAACAAATAAAATGTTTTCTTAAGTTGTAGAGACCATTATTCATGAGGGGCTTGCAGTAGATGAGGGAGCCTGCGTGGGTGCCCTACAGCTTTAACAAGGCGCTAAATAGAATAGCTCTGTTTTCATCTTTTTTATTAATACATGGAAGTTTCTGGGATTTTTTTGTAAATAGAACTTCAGTGATATTTAAAAACTAGATATTAAAAAAATCTCATTTGTAGACATGGAAAACCACTATAAAGATTTTTAAGCTAAGTCACCTAATAAAATTTTGGAATGATAACCCTTGTGGCATATTTCCTTTCCAAAAAAATATAGTCAACTCTTCCTACCTGATTACACAGCAAATAAAAAGTTTTAATCTGATGCCTATGTTAATAAATGATATTTTTCATTTATTGCTTAGAATTAAGGAGTGTTGAAATGTTTTTAAATTAAAGACTTTAATCTGGGGCTCACTTTTCTATATTAGCATCAGGTTTCAACATAAGTATTAGGTGAACAACTATTACATACAAGCTGTTTTATAGAATAGCTTTTTTTAAAAAAAAATTGTTTTTTTAACGTTAATTAAAGTGTAAAGTTGCATTTTTTTGAAAACCCAGAATTTTGGTCCTATCAAACTTTGGTTAAATGTCCCGGGAGGAAAGTTTGCCCATTTCATTAGTGTTTAGTGCATATTCAGTGCTAAAACATTTGCGAATGTGTGTGCTTTAATTTCAATTCACAGCTGTGTTTTTAATACAATTGTTGGTCCTTTTTTTCTAAAATCATAGCTAATCTTTTGGTAGGGGTATCATTGAAAACAGCCTAAAAGAGAAGTTATCTGAATAGCTCAAGCTGTTAGTACTTGTTGGTAGAATAGGTAATTTTATTTCACCATTGCTTTGCGTTCTTGAACATTCTGAAGGCTCTTCAACTCAGAAAAGTGGAGGTAAAAATAGAAAGGGTTAAACCTTAAGATATTTCCAGCTATTATTTTACATAAAACTTGTTGCCAGCCAGCTACAAGGGAAGGGAAGGACAAACCAGTATGCAGATGTGCAATGTCACAGCTGGCTTCTGAAACAAGAGGATATAGGGTTGAAATATCTGCATTATGTTTTTGACCGAGAATGAGCTTCTACCTAATATCTTAATAATCAAGCCAGAGGCTACTATTTTTTGTCTTAATTTTTTGGCCTTAGAGTGTCATTTTTAGTAAGAAAACTACTGTTTAATTGCCAATATATTGCCAGAGTTTGAGCGGGTAATAAAATACAGTTTTGCCATTGATTGTGACTGTTAAAGGAAATTGATAATTACGGTTTCCTGTTCTCTCAGTAATTATACTTTGTACCTATTTCTTTATTCTGTGATGATGTAGAAATTCTTATTTTAAACAGGACACGTTAATTGTTTGGTCCGAAGCTGAGAACTATGATCTGGCACTGAGTTTTCAGGAAAAAGCTGGCTGTGATGAGATTTGGGAGAAAATCTGCCAGGTAAGATTCTTTTAATATGCAGCACATTTGTATGCATTCGTGAATTTCTTTTACATCAAAGATGGGTGGGTATTAGAACATGAGAGAATGTTTTAGTATGAACTTTGGTAACCCAACATGGAAATTTCTTGTATATTTCACCGCACATTCTTAAAATTTAAAAAGAAAAGGCTTTAATCTTAATTTTTTTTTTTTTAGAACTCTAGATTTTGATAGCACCTCTTCACAATGAATACCCTGTAAAATGGGAGATCTTTTTTAAAAAATAATTTTATTGGGGGCTCGTACAACTCTTACCACAATCCATATATACATCCATTGTGTCGAGCACATTTGTATATATGTTGCCATCATCGTTTTCAAAGCATTTTTTTTCTACCTGAGCCCTTGGTATCAGCTCCTCATTTTTTTTCACCTCCCTCCTTCCCTCTGAACCCTTGATAATTTATAAATTATTATTATTTTTTCATGTCTTGCACTGTCCAATGTCTCCCTTTAACCCCTTGTGTGTTGTCCATCCCCCTGGGAGGGGGGTATAGGTAGTTCTTTGTGATCGATTCCCCCTTTCTCCCCCCACCTTCCCCTTCCCCTCCTGGTATGGCTACTCTTAATATTGGTCCCAAGGAGTTTATCTGTCCTGTATTCCCTGTGTTTCCAGCTCTTATCTGTACCAAATGGGAAGATCTTTAAGCCCAATGGTAGCATTCTTGCCTTCCATGCAGGAGAACCAGATTTGAATCCTGGCCAGGTCTCCTCACATACAGTCATAACCTGTCAGTCAGTGGAGGCTTGCATGTTGCTAGGCTGAAGAGGTTTTACTGGAGCATCCAGATTAAGACAGGCTAGAGAAAAGGTCCTGGTAATCTCATTCTGAAGATCAGCCAGTGAAGATACTTAGCACAACAGCTAATTATGGGAGTGGTACAGGACTAGGCAGCATCTTGTTCGGCAGTTGCCAAGAAGCAGGGGCCTCCTACTTAACAGCAGTTAGCAACAGCAAAACTGCCTTGTCTGTCTATCTAAAACCATGTATCTTACAGATGGGTGCGGTTGAAGACCCATAGTGGCCCAGTGGTTAAATCAAAGTGTTGGGAATTCTAACTCAGTCTGCGTCCGTGAAGATTTACAGCCTTGGAAACCCTCTGAGGCAGTTCCACTCTGTTCTGTGGTGGTCATTATAAGTTTGAATTGACTTGATGGCAGTATATTTTGTGATTTGCCTAATGCTTATGAATATTTTTGGTCAAGTACTAAAGATCAAAAATACTCATGACTTCAACTTATGAAGATACATGGTACATCTTATGACTGTATTATTTTTTAATGAGCTTTTAAATTTAGAACACTTTTAGATTTACCAAGAATTTGGTAAATTTGGCAGATACTTCCCGGCATGATTAGGTTCCAAAGACCAGATTGTTGTGTCAGAATCATCATTCTGCAAAAATGGAGGATGACTGCATCCTTACATAATTGCAGAATTATATCATATGGAACTACCAAACCAACCAAGTTGACATAAAACCGTAACCATCACAGCCAGTGGTTCTCTCACCTGCCGCATTAGTGTTCGTGACTGCCAGATGTACGTTGTTTGCAGTAGATTTTTGTCGTAGTATTATAAATCAGGGAATTTGGGATAACAAAATAGTTGGTAAGCAAGGAGTTGGTGTATTACAGAGTTGCCATATCCTTCCTCATTTTCCTTGCCACCAGCCTTGGCATGCCCTTGCTCTTGGAGCTGTGTGACTTACTGTAATTCAAGGAGGCAAGAACTTTATGTGCATCCAAAAGAGAAGTAGAAATCATTGGTGGACAGTACAAAACACATTTACATAGAACCAAACCACACTTATTACCAGCGAGTCAATATTGACTCATAGTGACCCAATAGGACAGGGTGAGTTTCAGAGACTAACTGTTCACAGTAGAAAGCCCTGTCTTTCTCTCAGGGCTGCTTGCTGGTTTGGAACTGACCTGTGGCCTGCAGCCTAATGTGTAACCCCCACACCACCAAGGTTCTACATTCACATAGATACTTGGGCCTATGTGGGGTTGACAGTTCAGATCTGTGAAGTTTAAGCTTAGACAATCCAGGAAGCCTTTGAGGATTAATAACAATAGCACCCTGTAACCTAATAATCGCTTCTGGTGTGATGCTTTTATCTTATTTTATGTGAAGCATAAACAAACTATTTGAAGTACAAATGGATTCATCTGATTTTCTCTCTCTTTTTTTTTTTGTTACAACCTCTGACTTTTCTCTTTCTCCCTTCAGCTCACACTCAACTTCTGCTTTTTGAGGGGGTTGGTATTTTCAGTCTTTCGATTTTTTTTTTTTACAGTCTTTCTATTTTAACTCTTGCCTTAATATCAAATCTCTATCTTCTCCGTTGCTCCTCAGTAGCAGACTTACAGGTTTACTTACCAAGTGTGTATTCAAATGCCTCACACTTGGTAAACCTGAATTCCCATCAGCCAATCTTCCTTTCTGTTAAGGGAGTGACAGGTTTAATAACACAGGGTACTTTGTGGTGCCATCTCTCTTTGGTACTGTCTTAAATTATCTAGTTCTGCTATAACAAAGTACTACGGTGGTAACTTTAGAAGCAGAAATTTATTTCTCATCTTTCTGGAGCTTCAAAGTCCAAGTTCCTGTGCTGGCTCCAGGGGTAGTTGTTCTCTTTGCAGTTCTCTCTACAGCATCTGTAGGCCTGATGGGCTCAGTCATCCTCATGTGCCATGGCAGCTGTCTTTCATCTCTTCTTGCTCTTTTCCTTGTTTAATCTCCTTTATATTGATTGAAGACACACTCTACACTAATTGATTGAAATTGATTGAAGACACACTCTACACTGATACTGTCTCATTAACATAAATCTACTCCCAAGTGGGAGTGTAACCAAAGGTAATATTGTGACCCTGTAGGACACAGTAGAACTGTTCCATGGGGTTGCCAGGAATATAAATCTGCAGAAGCAGCTAGCCTTACCTTTTTCTCATGAAAAGAATGGTGAATTTGAACTGCTGACCCATCCGCAGCCCAGTGCTTAATCCAGAGCTCCTTACACAAATAGAGGGATTAGGATTTACTACTGAAGGGGAGAAAACAAAAGACCTTCAACAAGGTGGATGGGCACAGTGACTGCAGCAGTGGCCTCAAACACAGGGACAGTCTTGAGGGTGGCGCAGGACCAGGACCTGGCAGTGTTTCACTCTGTTGTGCACAGGGTTGCTAGAGGTCAGAACTGTCTCAACGGCACCTAACAGCAGCAACAATACATAATTTGGTAAAGACACAATTCAATCTATAATAATATCTACCTCTTCACTTCAGTTCAGTTGTTTGTGTAGACTTTAAAATTATGCTGTGATTTGCCTGCATCCTCAATCTGGCCCATAAATCAGATACAGATTAATTTTCTAAAGGACAGCTGTACACATATCACTTCTCTGTACAGTAACGTCATTTGGGGGGAGGGGCTTTTAATCATGAATTAGGTGCTTTAATTTGATTTTTCAAGATCTGCCTTTAGTCCACTTTCCGTTTTCAGTGTGGCAGTTGCATGTCATCTTTTGTTGCTTTTATCTCTTCTGCATTCTCTTGCCCTTTAGTTTTCAATACCTTTACCCCTTTATCATAATCTTGCCCAGCTACAAAAGTAGGACTTTGAAATGATTCGTTCTGGCTTGACCTCCCTGTTGAGAATTCGTATTTCCACTCCAGATAAATTGAGTGAGAATCTACAGTTTAACAACACTCCCAGGTGATTCTTAAGAGTCATCTTGAGCAAGAGTCAAAATTACTAGGTAGATTGGCACTGTTAAACATCTACATTTGTTCTTTACACACTTCAGCATTACATCTGATAAGTGGAGAAATTTGTGGATGAGATGATCAGCAGTCAATAGCGTAGACTCAAATGAGGGACTCTAAACTTGGTGTATTTCCCACCTCCAGACTTCCCGTTTAATTGCCGGGGACTATATTCCTAATAGGAACCCTGGTCACACCGGTTTAAGCCCTCCACTTTTCACTACAAGACTGGTGGTGCAAGCCCACCAGCTGAGTCCCAGCAGACAGGAGGCAGAGTGCTGTCGTGAAGAGGAGCATCCTGAGGGCCTGTGGCAGGCAGCTCCGCTCTGCCCCCTGGGTTGCCACGAGTCGAGTCGGCAGGGGCTTGTCTGTTTTCTTCCGTGTGTATTTTGATATTCCTAATGTTGAATCTTTACAAGATATTATTATTTCTATTCAGTGACTGAACAGTCAGTGGTTTTATTTCCATACATTCTTCTGTGTTTTAGGCTCATCAGCGATACTTTTGTAATTTTAGGTTCAAGGTAAGGACCCATCAGTGGAAGTCACACAGGACCTTATTGATGAATCAGAAGAAGAGCGATTTGAAGAAATGCCTGAAACCAGTCACCTGATTGACCTGCCCACATGTGAACTCAATAAACTTGAAGAGATTGCTGACTTAGTCACCTCCGTCCTCTCCTCGCCGATTCGTAGAGAAAAGTTGGCTTTGGCCTTGGAAAATGAAGGCTATATTAAAAACCTACTGCGGCTCTTTCAAGCGTGTGAGAACCTGGAAAACACTGAAGGCTTGCACCATTTGTATGAGATTATGAGAGGGATCTTATTCCTAAATAAGGCGACTCTGTTTGAGGTGATGTTCTCTGACGAGTGTATTATGGATGTCGTGGGATGCCTTGAGTACGACCCTGCTTTGGCTCAGCCAAAAAGGCACAGAGAATTCTTGACCAAAACTGCTAAGTTTAAAGAAGTTATACCAATCACAGATTCTGAACTAAGGCAAAAAATACATCAGACTTACAGGGTACAATATATTCAGGACATCATTTTGCCTACACCATCTGTTTTTGAAGAGAATTTTCTTTCTACTCTTACATCCTTTATTTTCTTCAATAAAGTTGAGATAGTCAGCATGTTACAGGTAAGTAGGTGGAAGATATTCCTTAAAAATCTGTTTTGAGATATTTAATTGCTCTCATAGTTCCAGTTGCTGCTAATCCCCTCCCCCTTTCCCTTGTTTAAGATTTATTTTGTTTGCTTTAAATATACCAACAAGCAATGGAAGAGCCCTGGCGACACACTGGGTTAAGTGCTGGTCTGCCCACCAGAAGGCTGGTGATTGAGGCAGCATGCTTCCATAAAGCTTTACAACCTGGGAAACCCTCTGGGGTAGCTCTTCTCTGTCCTGTTGGGTCACTGTGAGTCAGAAATTGCCTGGTATCATTGAATCTGGTTTGGATCAACCACAGAAACAAAGTTTTATGTTTTAGTTTTATGACTATTGTGACAGTACTTCTATGATGCAGCTTTTAAAAAGTATCTTTTATTGTGTCTTGTGAGACCAGGGTATTAGGAGTGTTTTGTTGTATACTTATGCATGTGTGTACATGCCAGAGTTTAAATGTTCCCAAATCATTCAAACATGCACTCAGGATGAGAGCTCCTCAGTGATTTGTAGGGAATGATAATTAGGTTTTTTGCTATGTGAACTTGACTTTATTCTGTCTCCTTGGGTTTTAAAATAGGCGATTCATACCATGCTTATGTTAATCCTTTACACTGACAATAGTGAGCATAATTTTGGAACTGTATTTAAGATATACCATATTTCCAGTTTCCTACCAAACTGTCTTTGTTATTTTCATATCATCATTCAGTTAATTGAGCAGCCACTGTTGGTTTACAGTAGTGATTCTCACACTCTGGCAAGGACCCTTGTACCACCAGGTCCTGCCAGAGGGTCTGTGAAATTCTGTATCCAGCTTCTTGACTTTGTGGGACTTTATTCTCATGCCTATCGTGTACTTCTAAATACACTTAGAACAACATGCTGCAGCACACGACATACATGCTGATAGAAGAATCTGGTTGTCTTCTGTTAAGCCAGCCATGCAAGAGACTTGCACTTTTCTTACTGAATCCCTTAAACTTTGGATAGCACAGTTGTATTTCTAAAAAAAAAAATTAAAAAAAAGTTATTTTCATAAATTTATAATAGGATTTTTAATGCAAGAGTGAGAATTTTTAAATGTCTGTTTTAGTTTCATTCATTACAGAGATCAGTAAACATAACCCACATAATAAAGCCCTTTGAGGGATCTTCAGTAATTTTAAGAGAGATTAAATGGGTCCCAAGACCCATGGAACATTAGCTCTGCCTTAGTACATAGCAAGAGACCGGATTTTATAACAGCTCTGCTCCTGTCCACCTTCCTATTACTATCACTGCACTTCTTGGGTAGGATAGACCCTTCCGATCATTTTTTAACTTAGCAGTTTTTCTCATCCTGTAATTAATGTAAGAGAAGTTCTACCGACACTATTAGAGTTTATTCAGTGTGGAATCTTTTTCAAAGTTACACTATTCAGCCAGGGTATCATCTCGTTGAGAGAAAAGCAAGTTTTGTTTCAGGAGCTTGAAAATAAGGTTGCACTCAGTATCCTTGATGTAAAGCACCCAGTGACAGAGACTCAAGTGGAGTTTTCAAATGATTTTTTTTACTTCAAGGGGTTTTTCAAGCCTGTAATATTAAATCACAGCTGCTGTTTTTAACACCTTTTTGCAGTGATATGTGTCCTTTGCTTTAGATTCAAATGCAGAATTAAATTTTAGCATAATTAGATTTAGTCCATTTTAATTTGTGTCTCTGTTGCTATGGTTTGGTTCATGAGTTAGAAATACTTAGAAACCTGTCCTGTAGTTAATTTGTAGGGGCGGTCCAGTGTTTTTTATGTTGGAGACTTAGATATTAATCCATCTCTGTTGCTAGCTAGTTCTGTAACCTCTGCGAAGTCTGTGAGTCACAGATTCCTGAAATTTGATATTGAATTGGGTACCCAACTATACTTTGGTCAAATAGAAATTTCTGTGTCTATATGTGTGTTTTTTTAAATGCATGGGGTCTCAGGTTGGTTAGTTGGTTTGTCTTGTTTTTACATCACTGCAGAGAAAATAATTTGATTTAGAGTTTTTAGAAGAATCTGTTCATTTCCTATGGAGTTTTTTATGTAGTATCCAAAAAAGCAGCCACATACAGTTTCATATATCTCATTTTTAAAATATTAAAACAGAAACTCCTGAAACCAACTGGAAAAGAAAAAATTAAAATAATCTAAAAAGATAAGTTCAATTATTGGAGAATGAAGAATGAGGAAGGTAGCATTCCAATTACTTTTATAAGGGGTTTCATGTTGTCAATCAGTTTTTTTCTTAATATGTAGAACAAACAAATTGCTTTTTAGCTTAAAGGATATGATAAAAAATGTTCGAAATCAGATCTTTAAGAAAAAGCTACAACAAATCAAAGCATTTCCCTGACAGATTAACTCAAGTAGTAGTATTTTTATGCAGTTCTGGCTATCAATTTACAGATACTAAAATTCGACAGAAGAATTTAAATGAGAAATTACATTTATCAAGCAATGGGAATTTTTTTCTCATAAAATATTTTGATAAAGTTTAAAATCTCCTGGGACACCAAGGCAAACCACTAAAAGCATGTGGCAAAGCAACCGTGGCAGCAGAGCAGGGAGCCCCTGAGGGAGTACAAAGGACAGACTTTGGGGCCAGAGCATGGCACCCCATCAGACCTGACTGAAGGTCACACCTAGAGATCAAAAATCAGACCTTGATCTATTTACAGGTTTTTCTTTCTTTTTAAATTTTTTTTCTTTTAATTAATTTATTCTTCTAGAAAAAATTTATTCTTCTATGGATAATTGGTTTTCTTTTTTGTTGTCATCGCTGTGTTCTAATTCATCGCCCATCTTGCCATGGCTTGATTTGTGGTGCATATTAGTATCTCTACAGATCTATCTAGATAAGATAGACTGGATGAATAGTCTGGAGGAGAAAACAACGGGACCAACAGTTCCAGGGGGACATGGGAGAGGGGGAGGCGGAGTAAGGAGGTGGTGCTGACCAACCCAGGGACGGGAGCAACAAGTGACCAAAAATCAGTGGCAAGGAGGGTGTGAGAGGCCTGGTAGGGATTCAGCAAGGGCAATATAACCGAGAGAAATCACTGAAACCCAAATGAAGGCTGAGCATGATAGTGGGACAAGAGGAAAGTAAAAGGAAATAGAGGAAAAAACTAGGCGACAAAGGGTGTTTATACAGGTCTAAAGACTGGAATGTCCATATGTAAATATATAAGAGTGTGGGGAAACAGATCTACTTGCATATATTTATAGGCAGCAGATGGACCTTGTGCCTCCACTCAAGCACTTAGTCAATGCAAGAACACATTGTTCTATTAAATTGGCATTCCAGGATGCACACCTTCCTGACACGATTGCTGAAGAAAGTTGTGAACATAAGCAAATGTGGTGAAGAAAGCGATGGTGCCTGGCTGCCATAAGATATAGCATCCAGGGTCTTAAAGGCATGAAGATAAACAAGCGGCCATCTAGCTGAGAAGCATCAAAGCCCACATGGAAGACGCACACCAGCCTGTCAGACCACAAGGTGTAGAAGGGACCAGTTATCAGACATCAAAGAACTAAAAGTCATATTAGTGGGTGCCCACCTTCCTGATGCGATCACTGCAGACAAACGTGCATAAGCAAATGTGGTGAAGAAAGATGATGGTGCCCAGCTATCAAAAGATAGAGCCTCTGGGGTCTTAAAAGGCTTGAAGATAAACAAGCAGCCATCTAGCTCAGAAGCTATAAAGCCCACATGGAAGAAGCACACCAGACTGTGTGACCATGAGCTGTTGAAGGAATCAGGTATCAAGCATCAAAGAACAAAAAATCATATCATTGTAAATATGGGTGAGTGCAGAGTAGAGACTCAAAGCCCATCGGTAGGCAACTGGACACCCCCTTACTGAAGGGTTGTGGGGAGGAGATAAGCCAGTCAGGGTGCAGGGTAGCAATGATGAAACATAAATTTCCTCTAGTTCTTAAATGCTTCCTCCCCCCACTATCATGATCCCAATTCTACCCTTACACATCTGGCTAGACCAGAGGATGTACATTGGTACAGATAGCAACTAGAAACACAGGGAATCCAGGTCAGATGACTCCTTCAGGACCAGTGGTGAAAGTGGCGGTACCTGGAGGGTGGAGGGAATGTGGGGTAGAAAGGAGGAACCGACTACAAGAATCTACGTATAACCTCCTCCCTGGGGGATGGACAGCAGAGAAAGGGTGGGAGAATCGTCAGACAGTGTAACATGACAAAATAATAACAATTTGTGAATTATGAAGGGTTCATTGGGGAGGGGGGAAGGGGGGGAATGAGCAGCCAATATTAAGGGCTCAGGTGAAGGCAAGTGTTTTGAGAATGATGATGGCAACAAATGTACATATGTGCTTGACACAATGGATGGATTTATGGATTGTGATAGGAATTGTAAGAGCCCCCAATAAAATGATTTTTTTTTTTAAAAATCTCCAGGCAAAAAAGAAGATAGTTTGATCTGACTCAGAGTGACCCTGTTGACACACTACCCGGTCCTTGCACCATTCTCCCAGTTGTTCTTACATTTGAGCTCTTTGTTGCTCAACTCCGCTGTACTAATCCATCTCATTAAGGCCTTTCTTCTTTTTCGCTGCCCCTCCACATCAAACATGATGTCCTTCTCCAGGAATTGGTCCCTCCTGACAACACATCCAAAGTATGTAAGACAAAGTCTTGCCATCCTTACTTCTAAGGAGCCATTCTGGTTCTATTTCTTCCGAGCAGGTTTATTCTTTTGACAGTCGGTGGTACTCTCAGTATTCTTTGCCAGCACCCTTGTTCAAATGCATCACTTTTTCTTCAGTCTTCCTTTATTACATGACCAGCTTTCTCAAACATGAGGAGATTGGAAACATCATGGCTTGGTTCAGCTGTACCTTTGGTTTTCAGTGGCTAGTTCCTCAAGAGTAGACAGCCTATTTCGTCTTTGTAGACTGTTCTTGGTCTGGAACTTCTGCTGAAACTTGGTCACTAGGGGTGATCCTGCTAGTACATATTTGAAATACCAGTGACATAACTTCCAGCATCACAGCAACACACGAGCCACCACCGTACGAGAAACTGACAGACAAGTGGTGATTGGGCGAAGGAAGCATTTGTAAATGGTGTGAATGGAATGGAGGTACCAAGACTGATCATATTTGGGAAAAGCTGACTGGAGGGTAAGTAAGAGATGGCATATGCCCTTGATGCCCCTGAGAAGATGGATGTTCCAGACTGCAGACTGCCGTGCATAAGGTCCAAAAGGAATTAATGAAGTAAATAAAAGAAACACCAGCCTGCGTAAGATTTTGTGATTGTTAGGTGCTGCTAACTTCCGACCTATGGTGGCCCCATGTGCAACAGAGTAAACATTGGCCTGTCTCGCACCATCCTACAGTATGTTTGTTTGAGCCCATTGTTGTACGCTGTGGTCCCAAGCCCTCTCCTTAAGGATCTTCCTTGTTTTTGCTGATCCTCTTACCAAACATGATGGCCTTTTCCAGGGACTGGTCTCTCCTGATAACATGTCTCTAAAGTATGTGAGATAAAATCTCACTTTTTCACTTCTAGGGAGTATTGCTGGCTGTACATCTTCCAAGACATATCTGTTTGTTGTTACTTTCAATATCTTTGCCAACATCATAATTCAAATATATAAATTCATCAGTCTTCCTTATTCCATATGCATATGAGGTGATGAAACATACCATGATGTGGGCCAGGTACACTTTGCTCTCAAAATGACACCCTTTTTTCCCCAAACCTTGAGCTCTTGTGCAGCAGATTTGCACAGTGCAAAACATCATTTGATTTCTAGATTGTTGCTTCCGTGGACATTGATTGTGGATCCAAGTAAAATGAAATCCTTCACAGCCTTAGTCTTTTTTCTTCTTTTTTTCGTGATAATTTTTATTGGTACACTGGTAAGGGGTGTTTTGTTTTTACATTGAGTTGCAATCCATAAAGAAAGGGCTTGTCTCTGTATTTTCTCTTTGACTGGCATTACTTTTTATTTAGTGGAAGAGAATGTTACACGCTCCAGAATGGTTTCTAGTATTTTTCATTCATTTGCTTTTTCATGTATAAACCAAGAAAACCAAACTCACTGCCTTCAAGTTGGTTCTAGCTCATGGCGACCCTATCAGCCAGGGAAGCACAGCCGTGGGTTTCCCACACTGTAATCCTGACGGAGTAGAAAGCCTTACCTGCCTTGGAGCGGCTGGTGGTTACAATCTGTGGGCCTGGTGGTTAGCAATCCAGTACAGACCCACGACGTCACCAGAGCTGCCTTGTGTCATGGACACGTCGCCTTTTTCTTACTTCAAAACGGAAGTAAAGGACTGGAACCACTTCTTGGATGATCCCTAGTAAGGAAGAGAATAGGTACTGGGAAGTGATTCCTTTACATGTGATGGGTTGATTTTATTATCAAATATACGGATGTTACTAGACAAACCTTTATGGATCGTGCCTCTTTGATTGGAATTGGAAATTGTCATTGATAAAAGTGAATTTTGATGGTAATGAAGCTTTAATGCACTAACAGTTTTAATAGGTTTTGAGGAAATTTTAAAGTGAATTTTAATATTTTATCCGTTTTCTAGTCCATGCTCTTTGTAGAAACTAAGAAACTTGGTAAGCAACAATGAAAATCTTAATTCATTACCCAGAGATAACTACAATTAACATTTGAATGTATATCCCTCTAGTTTTTATATACACACCATTTATATTAAAAAATTACAAGAATATAATGTGTACATTATTCTATTTCTTTTAAACAATGCTTTAGGTAATTAGCATTTATTAAACACTTAGCTGCTATCCAAAAGTTCAGCTATTTGAGTCCCCTTGTGACTGTGAGAAAGATGTGGCATCGGCATCTATAAAGTCTTTGAAACCCTGTGGTACTTATGTCCTGTTAGGTTCCCCTCAAGTCTGGGTTCACTTAACTACAACTAGTTCAAGGGCTTTTTTGATCTCTCAGTACTTCAGTTATAAATGTGAAGAGCAGTTACTGGGATATTTAATCATTTACTTAAGTGCAGGGGGGCCCATGGGAACATGTAAAATGCTGCTCCAAATGGCCCTTGATATGTTTATTTCATGAGTTCTTGCATTTTGTGCACATCTGTTGCCAGAGTTTGGCTTTCTTTAATTCTGGACTTGTGCCACCTATGGTAACGCTTCTGTTTGTCTAATTGAATTGACAAGGAGGTCTTCAAATTTGTTTCCATTTTGTTTAACTCTAGAGTGTAGTCATGTTCACAGACTTAAGGTAAATTACTTTTTATGCATGACCTCTAGCCTGTACTTGCTTTTCAAAGAGTATTTTATAGTTGAGATTTATTGAAGTGAGATAAAAAGATATTTATAGCTTAAGTGGTGTATTCAAGTTTTGAAAAATTACAACTTGAAAATACCCTGGAATTTTAGCTGTGATAATTAAAATTCTATTGAGTTTTATTAATTGTATATATTATAATTAGTGTAAGTCATAATTTGTACAGTATATTTAGTAAAGGTATACAATTTATGCTTTCATGAATGTTTCATATTCTTTTCATGCAGGAAGATGAAAAGTTTTTGTCTGAAATTTTTGCACAATTAACAGATGAGGCTACAGATGATGATAAACGACGTGAGTTGGTAAGTTACTCTTGAAATCTAAGAATAAATTTTTGACGTGCACAGCATATATATATATATATATATATATAAGCTATATGTATGGATAGTGTGTGTGTGTGTGTGTTTGAGGTGAAAGTTTACACAGCAAGTTAGGTTATTTAAAGCAAATGTTGCAAAGAAAGCTGATGGTGCCCAGCTATCAAAAAGTATAGCATCTGGGGTCTTAAAGGCTTGAAGGTAAACAAGCTGCCATCAAGCTCAGAAGCAACAAAGCCCACATGGAAGAAGCACACCAGCCTGTGTGATCACGAGGTGTCAAAGGGATTGGGTATAAGACATCATCAGAACAAAAAGTCTTACCATAGTGAATGATGGTGGGAGTGCGGAGTGCAGACCCAAAGCCCATTTGTAGGCCACTGGAGATCCCCTTACAGAGGGGCCTCGGGGAGGAGACGAGCCGGTCAGGGTGTGAGGTAGCAACAATGAAAATTACAACTTTCCTCTAGTTCCTAAATGCTTCCTCCCCGCCCCCACTATCATGATCCGAATTCTACCTTGCAAGTCTGGCTAGACCAGAGGATGTACACTGGTGCAGGTGGGAACTGGAAAGACGGAATCCAGGGGGGATGATCCCTTCAGGACCAGTGGTGTGAGTGGCGATACTCGGAGAGTAGAGGGAGAGTGGATTGGAAAGAGGGACCCGATTACAAGGAACTATATATGACCTGCTCCCTGGGGGACGGACAACAGAAAAGTGGGTGAAGGGAGACGTCAGACAGGGCAAGACGTGACAATAATTTATAAATTATCAAGGGCCCATGAGGGTGGGGGGAGCGGGGAGGGAGGGGAAAAATGAGGACCTAATGCCAGGGGCTTAAGTGGAGAGGAAATGTTTTGAGAATGATGAGGGCAATGAATGTACAAATGTGCTTTACACAATTGGTATATGTATGGATTGTGATAAGAGTTGTATGAGCCCCTAATAAAACGATTTTAAAAAAGGTTATTTAACACTTTATATATTTCTGATACTCTGATTCCTTGTCCTCTTCCCTCTTCATCTAAGTGCTTCCCAGAGTGGGTGATAACACTGCCTGGGGTTCTGGAATAATTTCTGGTGGGGCTGCAAAACCAGACACCTACACTTTATCCTAGATTAAAGTGTATTACACAAACATTGTTTATTGTCAGGGAGGCCCTGATATGTGTGTGTGCGCAACGCGCATGTGTTTTCTGGAAAGGGGGTGGGAGGCCAAATAAGTTTGGGGACCTATGCTTAGAGTGATTTTTGACTATTGGTTTTATGTAGATGATTTTTTTAAGGGATTCATTACCCACAGGTGGTATTGTTTATGAGCCAATCTGTTATTTAGTGAAAAGATGACGTCCAGGAATAATTTTGGTTAAGAGTTTAAAGAATGTGTCAGGAAATACCCTTGAGAAGTCCTCTAGTTTTAGCCAGTCCAGCAAGTCTAGATTTTTTTTAAATAAATTTGAGTTCTGTTTCCAATTTTCTCCCATGCTATCAGCATCCACCTGTCGTAGGCCTCATCAGAATGAATGGCAGTATTACCTGAGTATCATCGAACTCTTCCCCTCTCAGGGTGGATGAGGCTGTGGTTCATGTAGACTTTGATTTCTATAGCTGACTTTCTTCTCTGAGTCTGGCTTTCAGCTTTCTCTTTGATATTGGACGAGCAGAGAACATAAGTGGATCTTTGCCGACCACTCACAAGCTGTAAAGACGCAAAACACTAGACCACATTGAGGGTTAGCGCATACACTTTCTGTTCTGTCATTTTACTGAGTTATATTACAAGACCGTGTTAAACTTTTAAACCCTCAGAGCCACTCACAACTCTCACAAGGTGTCGGGCATGTCTAGGAAGTTTCCATAACTGTCCCATATGTAGTCTATTACATACTTTATGCATATGGGCAAACAAAAATGTAAGATTGTGAAAGTATTGTTTCTTCAGCTACCCTCCATCTTGAGTCTTCATGCTTTTATTTATTTTTAAGGAGCATAGCACTCACAGATGATAATGTAAATTTTTGAGCCAATTGGTTAATTTTCTGAAAAGCATATAAAGGATAAGCGGGTGTTAGTCTCAGGAGTTGTCTAATTTCTACCAGCCCCTATAAGGCTTTTTGGGGGGCGGGGGCGGAAGGGGGCGGATCATATTCTGCAATTTCCTCCCCTTCTATCAGGATCCACCTAATCAGAGCAGTTGTGGTAGCCAGACACCATTGGGCTCCTCCAATCTCAGGATCAATAAGACCATGTGCCCTGTAGACTAATATCTGGTTTGAATCTTCGGGTTGGTTCCTCCTTTCTCTTTTGATCCAGACTAGTAGAGACCAATACTTGTTTCTAAGATGGCCACACACCAACTTTGAAGATCCCAGTTGCTGCTTACCATACTAGGATGTAGAACATAAATTTTACAGACTTAAGTTTTACCAGTTGTAGGCACATTTACTTCTGAAGGTAGTGTTTCCATGTCTTCAACCCTTCTCCAAAGAATTCTTTGCTCTTCGATTCACATCACCTTAAAATGGCTATTTTGGCATCCTCAATGGACTTAAATTGTGCTTTTTTTTTAATTCCTTGAAGTTTTGGGAAACAAACAGAAATTTGCAGGGCCAAGCTTAGGGCAGGAGGATAGATGGGTATAAGGTTTCCAGTGATGTACTCCTAGGACACCCTTGCTGCACATGAAGAAGGAGCCAGGTACATTGTTGTGTTGGGAAAGAATTCCTTGACTTAACTTTCCTGGCCTTTTTCTTAACAAGACAGTTTTCCATTTTCTTCAGACTTGTTCCTAACAAGCTCCCTTAATAGTCCGTTGTTCTTTGAGAAAATCTATGGTGGCTGCCCCCTTTGGAATCCTAAAACATTCTGAACTGACCTTTCTACCATTAAGAGACTTTCTACATTTAAGAGACTCAGTAGAAACCCTTTGAAGCTGCTATTTTTATTGCACCTTTTACTTTTGAAGGTACCACAGAGACTGAGACAAGACATGCTTAAATGGATTCTGTTGGGAATACACCCACGCATGTAACAATACATTTTAATTTTTCCTATTTTACCCTGTGTAATTTCTGTAGTGCGTTAATTGGTCGTTGATTAAGGAACAATCCAAAGTTTACCTTTAATGGGGCTTTTAGTGTGTTCTTTAATAAAAAGGAAATTATTCACATGATGGGGATTTCATTTGTTTGTAACAATATATTTATGGCTTTCAAGTTTTAAATTGTTGTGAGGGACAGAATTGGCTCTTCTGTCTCAAAAGTTTGCCGGCCGTTGCTGTGGAGATGAAGTTCAGCAGATTTCCGCAGCGTGGAACATCTCGCGCTACAGTGTGCGCCAAGGTTACTTTTATGTTGTGCTTGTCAACTTCTCACTCTAAATTCTAACATTGCAGGTAAATTTTTTCAAGGAATTCTGTGCATTTTCTCAGACATTACAACCTCAAAACAGGGATGCATTTTTTAAAACATTGGCAAAATTGGGGATTCTTCCAGCTCTTGAAATTGTAATGGTAACTATACAGTTTTTTTTCCCTCGTTTTTGAAATTGTGAAACTTTAAGAGATTTTAGTGATGGGAAAATGTTTTAGTGTCATGTATTAAAATTTTAAATACAGATTATTCATCTAATAGTGAGTTACTACAAGAATGTGTTTAGTTTCTAGCTTAAATTTATAATTTTGGTGATGCAAATGGTTAAGTGTGGAGCTACTAACCGAAAGATCAGTGGTTCAGTCCTACCAGCTGTACTGAGGTACAAAGATCAGACACATTCTGCTTCAGTTAAAGTTTACATACGGTCTTGGAAACCCTGTAGGGCTGTTCTCTTTTGTGCAGGTTGCTATGAGCCAGATTTGATGTGTCAGCAATGGATTCAGCATGTAATTTGGCTTCAAGTGAATAAGAACTCTACATGTCTTTGCAAAATGATTGCCTCTTCTATAGCAGTACAGCGTTAATTTACACCACCAGAAGCCAATGAAGTGTCTTTACTTCTTAGACAAGAGAGGAATAAGAACAGCTTGACCGAGGTTCAAAGCAGTATTAGGGGAGTGCTTTTCAAACTTAAGTTAATTTTATCCATAGGTATTTACTATATGTAAAATTGAAACAAAATTTCATTGAAAATTTTTAAGAATCAACCTATTCTATGTTAACATAAATAAGATCACTTCTATGAAAAACTAATTTTACAAAACAAAACAAATTTGATGAAAACTATTTACATTTTTTAATTTACATTTTCATATCTCTTTCACATTTGTTTTAGTAGATGGTATCTAAATTCTCATAGCAGCTTTTACTTTGAGCTGGTTATAATGTCACATGTCATTTAACCTTTTAGTATCCCCACCGTACTATTGATAAAATGAAGAATGAAAGGGGTAAATACATCTCAGTATTTTTATAAAAATAATTTGAATTTCATGTATTTCCTGAAAGGGAAGTTTTAAAAAGCTGTAGATTTGAGCAAGGAAGGGGGAATACAAGAATAGCTTGCTCTTTTTATGTATTGTTTGAACATTCTCTAAGAACCCTAATCTTTCTTTTTTATTCTTTAGGGCATGGATGATTTGCAAGTCAGATCAGCAGCTACAGATATATTTTCTTATCTAGTAGAATTTAGTCCATCCATGGTTCGAGAATTTGTAATGCAAGAAGCCCAGCAGAGTGATGACGTAAGTAATCATGCCACAGCTATTAATGAATTATCGTTGGCAGAGTACTTGCAAACTAATGAAAAAAAAGGCATTAATAACTATTTTACTCCTTAAAAGAAATAGGTTTCATGTCAGACGAAATTTTGAAAGGTTTATATTATCTTCCAATTAACCTTTTAATTTTTTTTTTTTCAGACTAGTATTGAAGTAAAAATTATCACTGAATCAGATTTTTAGGTTTGGGTTTTAAAACAAGTTTAAAGTACCAATAACTTCAGGACCAATGGTGAGAGTGGCAATACCAGAAGGGTGGAGGGAGGGTGGGGTGGAAAGGGGGAACCAATGACAAAGATCTACATATAACCTTCTCCCTGGGGGACAGACAACAGAAAAGTGGGTGACGGGAGACGTCAGACAGAGCAAGATAGGACAAAATAATAATTTATAAATTATCAAGGGCTCATGAGGGAGGGGGGACTGAGGAGGGAGGTGGATGAAGAGTAGCTGGTGCCAGGGGCTTAAGTGGAGAGCAAATGTTTTGAGAATGATGAGGGTAATGAATGTACAAATGTGTTTGACACAATTGATGTTTGTATGGATTGTGATAAGAGTTGTATGAGCCCCTAATAAAATGATTTAATTTTTTAAAAGTACCAGTAAAATTAATTTCAAGCTCATAGGAGATTTTTACCTCTCACTGACATTAGTTAGTTCTGACTTATCCCTATTAGACAGGGTAGAACAGTCATACCGTCCCCTCCCCGCCCCCAAGCCTCATGAGTGTCCCAGGCTGTAACTCTTCTTTTTTTTTTTAATCATTTTATTGGGGGCTCGTAAAACTCATCACAATCCATGCATACATCCATTGGGTCAAGCACATTTG